GTAATGCTATGATCCTCTGCTGTCACCTCCTCATCAAGAGGAAAAAGGAGAAAAACTAACAACTTGATCGTAACTGCCTGCTTAGTGGACACAACGACACACAACAGAACTCATGTTTTATACCAGTAGATCACAGATGCTTTAACTTTTGTGACTTTTTCACAGACTAGTACTAGCAGCTAATGCTAAAAACATAGGCAGTAAGCAGGAAGTGGAAGGGAGGAGCGTGGCAAAAAATTTTACCGGAAATACGTCATTAATGACCGTGGCATATACAGTAGGCTATTGACTGGAAAATGCATAATTTTGAGTAGATAGAAGCATGACCCCYGACCACCGTAGGACTGCTTCCCTCCACAGCTGCTTGTTAAAGTGAACATGTGTCTCACTGATGTTAGCAGATATTAGCAGGTGTGATGTAGGCTTCTGAGATTCTGTTTCAGAGTCAATATTTGCTCGTTAGCTGTTTTAGTTGGACAAAACTATTTAATTTAGTGTGTGCCATGTAAATAAACAGTGAGATTTAGAAAACTGCACAAGTGAAAGTCTTCCCTTGGACCCAGCAACAGATATTTGAACACTTCCGTATGCAGCTTTGTTTTTTTTACACACTTAAAAATTGTGGTTTTAGCCTACAAAGCTCTTTGGTGTAGCACCTTTCCATTAGTGCAAATAAGCTGTCCGTTCTTCCTGTGGGTGAATGTTAAATATGCACACAGTAAAGGTGTGCTGTAGTAAATATTGATTTATGAATATATGTATTTATTGATGTCAACATGTCCACTGTGTTTTGCAGATTGTCTCAGGTTTGGGAGCATGTCCGTCAGCTACAGTAGACGCCCTTTCTTCTTCTTTGGAGGTATCACATCCTGTGCTGTGCTARAAACTGCTTTCAATATCTTGATGTTTTTTTTGGTCAGCAAGTAAAATAATTATTGAGCATTTAAAAATGCACTGGTAATTAATACAATGGTGCTAGTGACATGAAATTTACATCCTGTCAATAATACCCTCTTGTCTACACACACAAAAAAATTAAACAAATAAGTTTATATTAAAACTATGTATAATAAAGTGGAATAACACATGGAATATTAAACACTAGGTGGTGAAACAGTAGGGCTGCTCGATTATTGCAAAAAGGATAATCACGATTATTTTGATTGTAATTGAGATCTAGATTGTTTAACAAAATTATTCATTCACTTTGATAACAGGAATTTATGGAACATAAACAGTGGCTGTTAAATAATTTTTCCCGTAGGATTTCAAATATTTTTAAAACAATTAGACAAAGTTTAACTTTGTGGGAGAAGCCTGCAGCATACTGTTGGCAGTGGCACTGGATTCACAACACAAAACAGCGTAAATAGGGCCCTATAAAATCTGTTTTATTTTTTTCAAATCTTGTTTTTTCCGTTTTTATTTTTCTAAAGTCATCTTTTTCCCCTAAATTCCACATTTTCATTGTAACCTTATTTATTAAACTAAAAAGTGTGTAAT